GAAACACTGATTCACACTTGATAGATTGGGCAAATCAAGTTGGGTGAAATTATCCCTGATTTTTTTAAAGTCCTGGGAGGAAAAGATATGCAAGTATGTTGGGCATTGAACAAATTGTTTTTAAAAAAGATCTATGTCCATTCAGAATATTCTGTGGAAAACATTTATCCTGCTATTTTGTTGCTGTTTCTTTTTTTTCTTTTTTTTTCTTTTTTTGAAACAGAGTCTTACTCTGTTGCTCAGGCGGAGTGCAGTAGTATGATCTCGGGCTCACTGCAACCTCTGACTCCCGGGTTCAAGGGATTCTCCTGCCTCAGCCTCCTGGGCAACCGGGATCACAGGCACCCACTACCACACCTGGCTGATTTTTGTATTTTTTAGTAGAGATGAGGTTTCACCATGTTGGCCAGGCTGATTTTGAACTCCTGACCTCAAGTGATCTGCTTGCCTTGGCCTCCCAAAGTGCTGAGATTACAGGCGTGAACCACTGCACCCGGCTGTCATTGCTGTTTCTGTGTGAGACTAATAAAGGACAAAAAGAAGCATGGCAAGGGATGGATGGAAAAGGCTGGTTCTTCTCTCAGGGTTCCCAGAGCTGGAGATAACACAGGGTTGTAGCTCCATCTGCTGGAGAGAAGCAAACTCTCTCTTGCATAGTCTATAAATGAAAGTGATCTCTCCACAACCATAGTGAGCCAGCCCGTGTTTGCTAAGCACTTGCTGTACACTGTGTAACACTTTGTTTTTTTTTGTTTGTTTTTTTGTTTTGTTTTTTTTTTGAGACGGAGTCTTGCTGTGTCACCCAGGGTGGAGTGCAGTGGCCGGATCTCAGCTCACTGCAAGCTCCGCCTCCAGGGTTTTTACGCCATTCTCCTGCCTCAGCCTCCCGAGTAGCCGGGACTACAGGCGCCCACCACCTCGCCCGGCTAGTTTTTTGTATTTTTTAGTAGAGACGGGGTTTCACCGTGTTAGCCAGGATGGTCTCGAACTCCTGACCTCGTGATCCACCCGTCTCGGCCTCCCAAAGTGCTGGGATTACAGGCTTGAGCCACCGCGCCCGGCCACTGTGTAACACTTTGTCAGGCTTAGGGTAACAGAGGAAAAACATAGGCATGTTCCCTGTTCCCACCATGCTTAGCTCTGAGAGGCCTTCTGCTGTCAAGAAGACTTGTTTTAGCTGGTGTGCTTATGCATTCTAGGTTTCCCCCTAGACTTCTCCTTGGGTGACTTTTAAAGCCATGTAACCTCATTCTGAGCTTCCTGTTCCTTTTCAGAGGTAAGGAATAACAGGGCCCCTCCTATAGGCCTCAGTTTAGCTAAACTTTATTAAATATATAGTGTGTCTATTAGGCAGAGGCCCAAGGAGCATAAAGATGAGTAGGAATCTAGTCCCTGCCCACCACGAGGTTAGAAACAGGAGCTCATAAAAGGATCCTCGCAGAGTAAATGAGAATGTATAATGGGATCCCTGAGGAGGAGTGTGGGATCCAGGCAGGAGAGTCGACTAGGAATGTATGGACGGGTTTTCTGAGTTGTTTGAGGATGTGAGCATTAGCGAAGGGACGCCCTTCCCAGCCGAGGTCAGCGTGAGCAGCGGCATGGAGATGAGGGCCTGTGTGGTGTGTGTATGTCCCTCTTAGGCTATGTAAACTGAGCAGCAGGAAGTGTCCAGGGATGAGGGTTTGGGGACATAGATGGAGCCAGGTAGGGCCTGACGCAGTAGGTTCACACTTGTAATCCCAGCATTTCGGGAGGCCAAGATGGGCGGATCATTTGAGGTCAGGAGTTCAAGACCATCTTGGCAACATGGCGAAATCATATCTCTACCAAAAATACAAAAATTAGCCAAGCGTGGTGGCACACACCTGTTGTCCCAGCTACTTGGGAGGCTGAGGCAGGAAAATGACTTGAACCTAGGAAGTGAAGACTGCAGCGAGCTGAAATCGCTCCACTGCCCTCCAGCCTGGGCAACAGAGCACAACTCTGTCTCAAAAAAAAAAAAAAAAAGATGGGGCCAGGTGATGTAGGGTTTTGTATGTTACCTTAAGGGATGCTGACTGTCCTCAGTGCAGTAAAGAGTTTAAGCAGGGTAGTGATAGCAGGTTCCTTAGAGAGACCACTTACTGGCTGTGTCTGTTGGATTTGATTGAAGGGGACCAGGCTGGAGATGGGGACTCTATCTAGGAGGCTGCGGCATGCCTGCTTGGATAATGTTGCCATGCCTGAGAGAGGGCACAATAAGAGGAAGAATTGGATTTAGGCATAGTGGGGAGGGAAGTTTATTTTAGGCATCATGAGTTTGAGTCGCCTGTGACGATATCTGTATGGAGACATCAGCAGACAATTCGATGTATGATTGTGAAGTTTAAGAAGGTCCAGCTAGTGCCACTAACAGGGAGGAAGTAGTTGAGCCATGAGAAATGTTGAAGTCATCAGGGAGAATGTGCACAATGAGAAGAGCAAAAAACCAAGGTCAGGCTGGGGAGTAGCCATACCTACAGCCAGGCAGAGGCTCTTGCAAAGGAGATGGTAATGGGATGACCAGAGGGATAAAAGTACGATGGTCTGGAAGCCAAAGGAATAGAAAATTCCCAGGAAAGCGTCATTTAAAAATGTCAAATGTAAGATAAGAACTGAAAAATGTCCTCTGGATTTGGCTTCTAAGAGCTGACTGTGACTGTAAGAGGTGTTTCCAGACTGCAGTAGGTTAATGAGTAAATAGGAGTTGAGATAACTTTTAGAAAATGGTGTCTGAGGCTGGGCGTGGTGGCTCATCCCTGTAATCTCGGCACTTCAGGAGGCCCAGGCGGGCGGATCACGAGATCAGGAGATGGAGACCATCCTGGCTAACACGGTGAAACCCCGTCTCTACTAAAAATACAGAAAATTAGCCGGGCGAGGTGGCGGGCGCCTGTGGTCCCAGCTACTCGGGAGGCTGAGGCAGGAGAATGGCGTGAACCCGGAAGGCGGAGCTTGCAGTGAACTCAGATCGCGCTACTGCACTCCAGCCTGGACGACAGAGCGAGACTCCGTCTCAAGGAAAAAAAAAAAAAAGCAGCAGACGAAAAAGAAAATGGTGTCTGAAAAGAGGAGAGAGCTGTGATGGTAGCTGGAGAGTGACTCAAGATAGATTCATTTTATTTTTTTTTTTTAGACTCCCCCCCCCCCCCCCCCCCCCCCCCCCCCCCCCCCCCCCCCCCCCCCCCCCCCCCCCCCCCCCCCCCCCCCCCCCCCCCCCCCCCATTCATTTAATGTAGCAGAAACTGGAGCCTATTTACAAAATGTTCGTGGGAAAGAACCCAAAAAGAAGGAAAGTGGCTGTCTGGATGTGAGTTTATGGACTGACATCAGACAGACCTTGTTGGGACTGAAGGCCTGAAGAGTTAAGCATATGGGTGGGAGGTAGTTGAAAGAGAACCTTCCAGATGATCTGTTTTCTTCATGAATAAGTAATAAGGTAGTATCTGCTGAGAGAAGAAAGGTCGATTACGGGAAGCCTCTCAAGCACAGTAAGTCCTTATGCAAGTGGTGCGTGTCTTCAAGAGGAGGGTTGGTGGGGCCCATCCATGAGTAGAGAAGTTAACAACAATGCCAGTCTGCCCAGGATGTTCTGCTGGGACACAGAAAAACACCCAGTTTCCTTCCTTTAGATTTTAACTGCAGCATCGTGAGCTGCCTTCCTAGAGGGAATTCTGTATTTTGGGGCTGTAGCTCAGAAGACTTCCATTCTCTTTCCCCTCTCCCGAGAGAGATCGCAGCTGCTTCCCAGGGTTTATGTCCATGACATAGGACTGTCCCTGCTGGGAATGGGAGAGGGAACTGCTTCCCACTCCAAAGCAGCCTTTTCACTTCCAGCTTCCATCCGCCTTCCACTCCCACCTCCCAAAATAAAGTAAATAAATCAAAGCCAGAAAAACATTCTGGCTGGAATTTTATTAGATTCAGTACTGTGTGAAAGCTCCCAAACTCGTTGTGATGGTTGGACTTCAGAATAAAGGTGAAGCCTGTGAGGTTCTCCCAGGAGTGCTGGGCAGAACCCTGAGTTTTAGAACTCCCTCTGCCTTTAGCTTGTCTTGGATGTGCTCTTCCACTCTTTCAAGCTCTAAACCCTTCCCTGCAAATAGTCACCTGCCAGGGTGCCCTCAGGTTATATAGCTTGTCACCAGCTCTAAAAGGGGCTAGTGCCCAGTCTCAGTGTTGGATAACAAGCAAAAGTAATGAGTTGTTTTCTTGGGATTTTTGTGTGTTTGGTTTGTTTTGTTGTGGTGGTATGTTTGTTTTTGTTTTTGTTTTTTTAGAGACGGTCTCCCTGTGTTGGCTAGTCTGGTCCTGAACTCCTGGGCTCAAGTGATCTACTTCAGCCTCGGAAAGCACTGATATTACAGGCAGGTGTAAGCCACTGCACCTGGCCATTTTCTTGTTTTTAAAGATTAACCTCAGGCCCTAGTTATGTTATCATCCTGGAAATGCCGTCATCCTAAAAAATGATTCCTCTATAATAAAGAAATTGGGTAAAGGAGCTTTCTTACTGTATTTTTAGTGAATCCAGGCGAGGACACCTTCATTCATGGAAGGGGAAGGCTGAATTAATTGCTCTCAAGTTCTTTCTTAGCTTCAACTAAAGATCCCCTTATTCTTCAGTGGAAACTTGGCACTGAGGAGTCCCAGGAGGTGACTCAGTCGGATATGTGAGGCCTTGGCACCACTGGCTTTGCTGCTTCTCTGCACTGTGTTTGTCAGGGATATCTGGGACAGAAAATAATTTCCGCTGCTGGGGCAGCCAGAGCCTGGCATGCCCGTCTCTAAGCTGGCCTGCGCCTTGCCACCGGAAGATGTAATGTAGAGAAGCTGCTTGACCCCAAAGTAGCATTCAGAGGGCACATAAAGAAGCTCCGTTAATTCAAACACGTAGGTATTCTAGAGATCCAGAGGGCCAGAGGCTGTCATTTTTTTAAAGTAACCTCTTTCTATGCTGATCAGTTATTCATTTTTCTAAATATTTGTCTGCATGTTATATGTGCTTTCAGTAAGTTTTGGATGAATTTCTTAACTTCATAAAGTATATAAAACAACTTAGCAGGATATGAGTTATGACATTTAGGGGTGTTGTCCTATTGCTTCAGAACAGTGGGGTTTTCGTGTAATACACCATGTCACATGATTTGACTAAATACAGGAAAAAAAACCCTAAACTTGGTTTCATTGGCTCAAATATAGTTCAAGACAACGGAGGCAAAGCTAAGATGAGGAAGTTCTATACAGTTTAGGAAATAGGGGCTTTCAAAGATAATTCACAGTGATGTGAAACTGGCCTCCCAAGCCCTGATAAGTAAGTTAAATAAGAGTAGGAGCCCAGAGGGAGGGAGGTTCTTTACTCTTGAATTAAGAGAAGGGGAGCTGGAGGTGCCTCAGGTAGGGTGCGGAGGTTTGCAGAACTAGGTCTGTGTGTGTAAAGTGACTAAGGCGGGGGAGTGGAAGTTTAAGAGAAGAAATGGACCTGATCGCCTAAATCAGCCAAACACAGGGTATTGTTGTATTTCTGGATTTGTTTTCCTTATGACCTATCTTTCTCAGTTATTTAAGAAGCAAATCTAAAGGATGTTTGTTGAAACTCTCTATGCAGAACGGGTCTTGGGTGAGTTGTAGTCACCTTTAGCCGTGCTGATTAAAATTTCCCCCTGCTGCAGAGGTTATGATTGTGGTTCTTTTATCTTGTAGATATATATTTAATTATTGAAATATGTGAAAACTTTATGTTTTATTGGTTTGAAAGTAGGGTGGGTATGGAAGGGAAACTATGCCTTTTGTTTGCAAAGAAAAATTTAAAAACAATTGATAAATAGTATTTAGTGTCATATGGTTATGTCCTGCAGAACCTTCTCTAAAAGACTTTAGCTTTTGGCATTTTATTACATTAATTTTTTGAAACATTATTTCTGCTGCCTAGGATCTTTGGCGGGGAAATGTACTATTTAACAATATGTTTAGTGAACTTTTGTCCTGTCATGGTAAGAAGAAAGCAGCTATAACTAAATAAGGAGTTACTCTTATTCATTAACTTGTAAAACTCTAGTTTAAAAAAAAAAAAAAGAAAGAAAAAACTGCTGGTCATTTTTTTTAAAGTTTTGTTTTTTAATTGACACATATTTATGGAGTACAGTGTGATGTTTTGGTTCATATGTACATTGTACAGTGATCAAAGCAGGGTAATTAGCCAATCAATCATCTTAAATATCACTTTTTTGTGGTAACAACACTTAAAATCCTCTTGAGGTATTTTGAGATATACAATACAGTATTATTAATTATAATCACCTTGCTGTACAATAGATCACCAGAACTTACTCTTCCCATCTAATTTTGTACCTGTTGACAAACTCTTAGTTTCATTGATTCTGTTGTTTTTCTAGTCTCTTTTTCAATTATTTCTGTTCCAATATTTGTTATTTCCTTCCTTCTGCTAACATTGGGCCTAGTTTGTTATTTTTCTAGTTCCTTGAGGTGTAATGTCAGGCTGTTATTTGAGATCTTTCTTTTTTGATGTAGGTGTCTATTGCTGTAAACTTCCTTTAGCACTAACTTTTGCTGCATCACATAAGTTTTAGTATGTTGTGTTTCCATCTTCGTTTGTCACAAGATATTTTTACATTTTTCCTTTATTTTCTTTAATTTCCCCTTTAATTTTTTCTTTGACTCGATAGTCGTTTAGGAGCGTATTGTTTAATTTCCACATATTTGTTAATTTTCCATGTCCTCCTGTTAATGTAGAAACTATTCTAGTTTCATACCATTGTGATCAGAAAAGATTCCTGATATAATTTCACGCTTCTTGACCTGTCCTAGAGAATGTTTCATGTGCACTTGAGAAGAATATGTATTCTGTTGCTGTTGGGTGGAATTTCCCCTGCAGGCCACCCTTAAAGGAACTCTAATGCCTCAGACCTACATTTGGAAAACATTTATTAAGGGGTGATTATTTACCCACAAAAGAATCTTTTACTTTACTACATGACTTGCCCTATACAGTGGACTTCCTATAGATTTAAATGTATTTGCAAAAGCATTGATTTTACAGTTAACCTTCAAGAACATTAAGAGTGATACTGATTGCATGTGTAAGGGATTCTCTTATGTAGATGTATGTTGTGTGTATGTACACATGTATATGTGTACATTTACATATGTAGTCAGGAAATAAGGAATAGTTATAATGAACAGGAGAACACAAGTATTTTTCATGGATAAGAAAGGAAACGTTGAAAAGAGGATGATCATTTTAATTTAGTCTTTCAGTTGATAAAAAGGGTTCATGCTTTTTAGTTTGCAAACAAGGCAGCACTGCATAGCTGATAGAATGAAAATAGGATAAAATATTCTTAATGAACATAAACACTTGGTGGTGTTTTTTAAAATATACAGAAATAAACATCAGGCCATCACAGATTGTGTCAAGATTTTGAGGCTAACCAAAAAACGGGGAACCCCCTGTAAGTCTAAGAGATGGCACCATGGAGGTAGTGACTTTTGAGTTGGGCTTTGAAGAATTTGACAAATGATGGAAAAGAGTGTTGTTCTAGGCAGAGTTGGCAATAGCTTGAGCAAAGGTTTGCAGATCAATGTTACTTTCTGTTCAGAATCCTCCACTGCCTTTCCATCTCACTTAGAGTAAAATCCAGTTTTTATTCTGGGCTGCAAGTGCTTTCTGGATCTACCCCCTGCCCTATTCCTTTCTGTGCTGTGTTTTCCGCATTAGCCTGGAAGATATGTTAAAGCAGGGGCTTTGTTTCCTCTTGTTAACCTCTGTATTCCCAGTGCCCAGAGCAGTAGTAAGTGCTCAATAAATAAATGTTGAATGAATGAAAGAAATTCTAAAATTATCTACTGTGCTGGAATGTTTGAAGGATAAGAATGGCAGGGAGGGAGGGTGTATGTGGAGTACTGGTCTTGAGGGCAGTGTAAAATTTGGGGACATTAGGGAAGCATCTATGATGTTGCTGTGAAGTGTTTGCTAATATTACAGTGTAGAGAATGGATTAGAAGGACAAAAGAGCAAGATAGCAATACCAAATGAAAGGATGTGTCAGTGGGTCCTTCATTCAGTTGACATTTGAGTGGTTTCCCCATGCTAAGCACTGTGTTAGGTTCTGGGGTACACAAAGGTGACTGAGAAATGGTTTCCATGGGTAGTGCCAGATGTGTGAACATCTTGTAGCAAAGGACTGAGCAAATGATGTGGTGGGGCCTGAACCTGGGCCTTGTCAGAGGCGTGGGAAGGAGTCTGAAGTCTCATTGGTAGTTTCTTGATGTCAGTAGTTCCGAGAGTTCCCAGAAAAAAAGAGGAAGCCTTCAGTGAAACTTTTGTTTTAAAAAATTGATTGATTGACAAGGTCTTGCTCTGTCACCCAGGCTAGAGTGCAGTGGCACGATCATGGCTCACTGCAGCCCTGACCTTCTGGGCTCAAGAGATTCTCCTGCTCCAGCCTCCCAAATAGCTATGACTACAAACACGTACCACCATGACTGGGTAATTTTTTAAATTTTTGTAAAAACAGAGTCTCGCTGTGTTGCCCAGGCTTGTCTTGAACTCCTGGCCTCAAGAGATCTTCTTGCTTTGGCCTCTCAACCTGCTGAGATTACAGACTTGAGCCACCATGCTTGGCCCTTTAAGGGAACTTTTAAAAATGTTTTTAGTTTTTTTTTTTTTTTGAGACAGAGTCTCGCCGACATCCAGGCTGGAGTGCAGTGGCGCGATCTCAGCTCACTGCAACCTCCGCCTTGCAGGTTCAAGTGATTCTCCTGTCTCAGCCTCCCAAGTAGCTGGAATTATAGGCATGCACCACCATGCCTGGCTAATTTTTGTATTTTTGGTAGAGACGAGGTTTCACCATGTTGACCAGGCTGTTCTTGAACTCCTGACCTCAGGTGATCCACCTACCTTGGCCTCCCAAAGTGCTGGGATTACAGACGTGAGCCACCATGCCCAGCCTAGTTTTATTTTTTTAATACAGGGACTTAACAGTGATTTTAAATTGCATCTTGCCCAAAAGTTAGTAATGTGTTGATTGACCCATTAGTTCCAGGAGAAAGAGGTATACAGGAGCAGTGTTTTAACTCCAAGTCAAAGTGTCACTTCTGGGGCACAGTTTGTCAGAATAGTTACAGGATGAAATATTGATGTCCTGTAGAGTGCTTGATTAAAATAAGTGAAGTGGCAGGTGGGGAGGTATTTTATTTATTTATTTTTATTTTATTTTATTTTATTTATTTATTTTGAGACGGAGTCTTGCACTGTTGCCCAGGCTGGAGTGCAGTGGCGCAATCTCAGCTCACTGCAAGCTTTGCTTCCTGGGTTCATGCCATTCCTTATTTATTTTGAGACGGAGTCTTGCACTGTTGCCCAGGCTGGAGTGCAGTGGTGCGATCTCAGCTCACTGCAAGCTTCGCTTCCTGGGTTCATGCCATTCTTTATTTATTTTGAGACGGAGTCTTGCACTGTTGCCCAGGCTGGAGTGCAGTGGCGCGATCTCAGCTCACTGCAAGCTTCGCTTCCTGGGTTCATGCCATTCTCCTGCCTCAGCCTCCCAAGTAGCTGGGACTACAGGCATGAGCCACCACACCCAGCTAATGTTTTGTATTTTTAGTAGAGACAGGGTTTTACCATGTTAGCCAGAATGTTCTCGATCTCCTGACCTTGTGATCCACCCGCCTCGGCTTCCCAAAGTGCTGGGATTACAGGTGAGAACCACCGCACCTGTCTGTAGGGAGGTATTTTATACCCCACATGTTGCCACAAATGTATGGTAATATTGTTGGGAGAAATGGATACTTTATCAGCCCAGATGGGACATATAGAATCTAAAAAATTGAAAAATAACTTTTACCAATTTTTGTGTGTGGGAGGGGATGTGTGGAGAAGAGACAGAGATTCCCTTATAGGGCTTTAAAATGTGCTATGCTAAAAGAAAGTTTGTTTGCAGCCTGGGAAGACATTTAGACTACCTAGTTCTTTGGGTTCAACTGTTTATGGTTTTTCTTGTCACTTATTTAACAGTTTCAGAACATAAGGAGCATATTGTCACTTGTTCCTTATTCGTTGAGCCTGTTTATCCTTGAAATACTGTGGTGTAAGTTGAAAGACTACAGGTTTAAATTTTACTTCTGCCATTTGTGTGATTTTGAACAAATTATTTAATATCTGAGTTGTATATTCCTCATCTGTAAATGGCAATAGTATTTAATCTGTGAGTAGTGTATGTAAAAGGATCCTAGCTTGATATTTGGTGGGATCTAGGTGGCCAACAAATGTTCCCCTTTTTATTGTATTAACAGTAAAATGTGTATAACATTCACCTGTGAAGGACACTTAGGTTAGTTCCATACCTTGGATATTGTGAATAATGCTGCTGTAAACATGCGTGTACACATACCTGTTTGCATCCTTGTTTTCAGTTCTTTTGGATATATACCCAGAACTGGGGTTGCTGGGTAATGTGGTAATTCTATGTTTAACTTTTTGAGGGACTTC